CTGCTGTACTGCAAATGAGACAGTGGCTGAGTGTGTACTGCAGCTGCAAGATAAGGCACTAGAAAGATATCTAAAATTTTGGCTAATTCTAGATGTCAAGATAATTGGATTTTCCAAATTAAACCTTTCTGTAGTTAAAGAGGATTAAGGTTAGGGACTGTAGCAGGGAAAACTACTGTCACTGTTATGACGAATTTGCTGCTAGAGTGCCATTTTTCTTCTTCTCTGTCTGCTCTAAGCAGGCAAAATGGCAAGAGCTTCATAAAAGTCTTGAAGTAGTTATATCATCTGCTATCAAAAGTTGGCACGGGAAAGCTTTGTTTCTTGTGCATCTACCTATTCATTTCATGAGCTCTTAACAGAATTTGAGTGGATGTTGAAGGGACAATATAAGGTTGTTTAGGCTAAAGTTTAAGTTTTATTGAAAGGGCTGTGAAATATAATGTTACTAGGTATGGTAGAATGTAGGGATATTGCAGAGCCAAGGTGCTCGGAGAAGAAGAGTATTTGGTGTCAGGTCAAATATATTTTTAAATCCTTGATCAAAACAGAGCTTGTTGTTTAGGAATGTCTTTGGCTTTTTAATTGTCATGAGAGCAAAACGTACATCCCTCAAACCGTGTGAATGCTTGTGTCTCATGAAAGAATTAATTGCTATTTTAATAGAAGTGCTGACAATATAAATACTCCTTGAGACACTTGTCTCCAGATGGTTTCTCTGCAGACTTTCTCTGATTCCCCACACTTCCAAAACAGGGATATAAACCTCCTGACATAGCAGAGCATGAGTCAGTCCCATAATTACAAAAAAAAAATTCTTCCCTATCATCAGATTACTCTGCAGCCTCTTCTTGAGTGAGTTCTTGCATCTTCACTGAAGGAATAGATTTTGGCTGCTGCTGAGGTAAACCACCATATTCAATGGACTTATGTCAATTATTGTCCTCACATTATTGTACATTGCTAGAGGAGCTCTTTCTTATGGTTTAAGGTCATCTCAAGGACTTCACTTTTTCTAACTCTGCTGAAATTGAAGGCTGGAGCGTAGCACTGTGTGATGGGATATCGTTGCAGAGCTCACTTGCGAGATACGCGAAAAAAATCATCTTTCTTTATCATCTTTATCAGTTTAGCTGGTATCTCTACTCTCATTAAAGAGCCTGATGCCTCTTCCACTCTGAGGCCAGAAGAGCACCATCCTCCCTGATGTATCTGCAAGAACATTGCAGAGAGGACCCTTCAGATAGAAAGACACCAAAACACACGCAAACAGGAAAAAACAGTTGTCCTATCCTCTCTGCAAGGACTCTCTTGAAAGTCCATTGGAGCCCTTGCAATCCTCTCCATGGTGTGCCTGGATCTTGAGTGTCTGCATGGCATATAGCGTGACAGATGATGTTCTGTAGGCATCTCTGTCTCCTGGACACGCTGCCAGATATTCATCCACGGGCATGGACTTCAGTGCATAAAGGCTTAAGCAGAAAAATCCTTAGGGATTTCATCATATAAAGTTTTCTCCTCCAAAGTTTTTATGGGCTGAAGTTTTATATCCTTAAAGACTTTACCCCATAAAAATCCAAGAGGATAATAAAACAAATAGCATCTATGTCCAGGGTCAGTAGCTTGGGGGAAAAAAAATGCTCTTGGGTAATAATAATACCTTCCATAGAAGTATTGACCAGAAACTACAGATCTATTCTTTTCCCCGTTGGCTGACATTTTACCGTTACTGCCCTCTGAGCTAGTCACTATTTGCAAGCTGTGCAGAGTAGCCATGGGTACGTGGCCATGCAGAGCTATTATAGGCGTGACTTTGAACTGTTCTTGAGGATGATAAAGCCAAAAGTGAACTTTGCAGGCAGAATACAGAGCTTGCCTTGTCCAGCCGCTCACGTTTTCATCTCGCTGCCTCGCTCCATGTATTTTAAATCTGAATTGTATGGATACACCCAAAAACATATTCACGTGCTCATAATCCAGATTAGGAAACGGCTGCCAAGCTCTAGAAAATCAGCTGAATACTCAACATCTCACACAAAATAAGGGTGACCTAATTCTGTGCCTATATTTACACATGAAATTCAGTAAAATTTCAACGCGTAGGCCCCTGCTTTTTTAAAAACGTACCTTGGAAAGCTAGATTGGTACCATTGTTTTGCTACTGATCCTCTAAGGGCCCTGAACAACAAGATAATTAAAGTCCATAGAAATATGAAATCCTAAAATCACTTTTCTGTAAGTCAGTGCAGAGTGGTAAGTATTCCCGCAGGGAGTAGCTGGCAGCTCTTGGCAGGAGGACACACTTGCTATTTTCCGGTCTGATACCTCCAGATCTGTGGCATTAACCATGGATAACACGGCTCTGCCCGTGGAAAGCTGGAACTCCTTCTCACCAGGAGGGGAACGTTTTTACTGCCCTGGGTGGTCATGATACCGTTACACACATTTGAAGCTTGTTAATTTTCCGGGGCTAAATACTGCCCGCTCCAGACTGGTTCCATTCCAGTAAATGCAGGATAATGGGCTGACTAAATATAGTAATCTAAAATATAAACAAATCCCCAGTGATACCCTCGACATCCAGGCAGAATATTCAGTGTAAGAGCACTCAGGGTGCACGCATGGCAGCCTGTCCCAATATTTGTTCAAAACAATGACAGCATTTCTATGGTTTTTCTGCACACCCCATCCCAATGGGGATAAACAAATAAACTGGCATAAGACCATATCAGAGGACCTGTTGTCTAAAGCCGTTAAAGAGGAGGACATAGATACTTAAGTAATTGTCACTCTCAGCCTTCCATTTGGGATTGGTGGGAGCCGTCGTGAACTAAACGAATGACTCACAGAGGCACACCATGTCTTGGATAATTTTACATAGGTGGAGGATAGACTGAAGAACAAAAGCGAGGACTTGTCAATAAAACACCAAGCTAGTTCCAGAACAATACTTCCTGTGAATCACTTCAGTGTATGAAGTGATCTGGGAGATTCATGCACCCTGTGTTGGCATTGTCGCTATCAGCCATGTTTACCCTTTTGCCAAGATACATTAATGAAGCCTTGCGGTTCCCCCAGTTTCCAGAAAGGACTGCCCATGTCAAGAAGATAAAATCCTTTTTAGCAATAAATGCAGCCGCAGCAAGGCTGAACGTGGTCGTACCCAAACCCCAACCCAGGAGAGACTGCAGCTCAGCCTCCCTGGCACTGATGGATACGAGTACCGAGCAAGGCTGTTTTCAGGCTGGTAGCTCCTCCTGTCAGTTCCAGCACCAGTTCATTGGGGTCCACGGAGTGTGAAATCCACCTCTCCACATAAGACCAGCACAATGCATCATTTGAATCATTTTGAAGGGATGACAAGGTTCATAAGCTTCGTGTTGCCCTCTGCACAGGAGCGAATTTTACTCTTCATGCAAATGGTGTTTAAACGCAATATTTTAAGACTAATATTCCGTATAGGCGCAGCGTCTGATTCATGCCAACCCACGAGGTAATATGAATGTTTAGTATTGTTTAACCAGCTCCCAAGGACTGAATAAAACCCTCAGATGAAAGATGTGACCTTCAGAGAGCATGGAATCACTTTTTCTTTTCATCTAAAAGATAATTGATCTAATACTTCTCTCCTCATTGAAGACATAGGCTCGCTGCACTGAAAACTGTTTACAAATGTTCTTTCTCCATTAAATTGATTTTCTGAGTAGAGATAGGCAGTGTTTTCTGGAACTAATTTAAATTCCCCTCTAATTAATATTCACAACCAAAATATGTTATCTTTGCATGACTGTGCAATTATTAAAGGGAAAATATAATCTGTGAAAGTAGTTTGTTTTTTTTTCTTTTTTAACTAGCCCATAACCGACATGAAATGTATCATTTCCTTGCCTTTTTTAGGGTATGATTCAAGAAGCCATCGCTGGAGAAACATCTTTTTCAGTTATGTACACACCATTCACGGGACAAGCCAAACCTGACAAACTAAAGCAGATAAAGGACTTATTTGCTAAAAAGCACCCTATGTATGTGCAGCACATATGTACAGGTAACAGCAGCTTTCACATGCTCTTCAGCACTGTATACTGTTTGATGCGTATGAATGACTTAAAAATTGAGTTTGAGAGAGTATAAATTTCTACACCTCTAGGGGTGGTAGATTTGCTCTGTGATTTGTACATGATTTAAGTAATCAAATCAGTACTGAGGCAAAGCATAGACTTTATACTGCAAATCCTCATAAAGATGATTTTTAGCCCCATGTTTCCATTGTCGAATGTCATTATTGCAACTAGTCTTTTATTCAAAGGTAGATTTGCAGTGTATTGTGGTGACAGTGAGACCCGAGTTCATTCCCATCTCCGTGGATTTCCACTGGTCACCAACAGTCATCCCTGCAGCAGGGCCTTCGCTTTCCGAAAATATCCTCCCTTCTACAAGCACTAATGGACTGACTGCCACCTTTGAAAGCATCTCAGCTGTGGGGATGGGAATAGATAGCCAGGTTTCCTTTAGCCTGTTGAAGACAACGAGGATCCAGGGTAAACAAGGGCTTTACAGAGCCTATTGTCATCTCCTGGCAGAGCTAACTCAAATTACATCTCCTGGACTAAATAGATGTTTAAATTCTGGTGACCACAGCCACCATATTTCAAGAGGAATGGGCATGACATTTTGGCAAAAGAGAAGCAGGGGGATAAAAGGCATGTGTTACTATCAATAACCTGATGACTTGTGACATAGTTGACCCTGATAACACTTGGTTTTGAGTGGGTGATTGAGAAACATAAAAGGGAAAGTACATTTCTCAGGTCAAATTCTGGAAAGCCTCTCTCTTCGTCACACAAACTAGATGCATAGCTCACCCCTTGCTGCCGCAGATAAATAAGGCTTCCAAAAGAATGCACATTGTGTCTTTGGGGACGAAAAGAAAATCTATTTGAAAAACACAAACAGGGATTAGGAAACCAAGTGTTTACTACAAAACTGTGCAAATATTTAACACGAGTAAACTCGTTTTGTTCATTTTTGGTTTGCATTAGGAAGCCAGTATAAAACTAGATCGTGTTTTGCAAGTTGCAGACCACCCTTGTATTGGGCTTCTGGCAGTAGCTTTAGGGGTGTTCAAAGAGGGAAAATGAGGATTTATCTATCACAGAGGTTGTAAAATCCCTGTCTACCATTTACTTGCTGATGTGACTTTGTGGAGAATTTCCTGGGACAAAAGTATTGGCATTAAAAGCAGCATAAAATAAAACTCCCTGAATGTGATTTTAAAAAAGATATATTCATATCTCACATAATGCCCTCAGTTTACAGCAAGGGTAAGACTTTCAGGAGCACATAAGCAGCAAAAGTGTGCAAAGTGTTGCACTGAAACTCAGTTTGCGTTCATAAATCACTGAATGACTGAAAGTGTCACTGGTCATTTTCTTACTACTCCCAGTAAGGAAAAGAAAAATGGTAAAAAAAAAGAGGATGTAAAAGATCCCAGTCCTAAAATACTTTAGTCAATTATAAACCAGATTGAATAGAATCAGTTCTGCCCTCAAATGTGTTTGTTTACAAATATATATTGATTAAAAGACTTGCTTCAAATTCCTCTGAGTGCAGGTTCTGGGATCACTGAAGTTTCTAGGAATCAAATGGGATTGAGAGCCAAGAAAAAAACAATATGGGTATCAGGGGTTTGAGAGTGCCATGGTCTGAGAAGTCTCATGCAGGTGGGACCTCTCCCAACCTCTCTCCTTTCTGTCCTGGAAACCCCCTCAGACAGCATGGACACAGTTCCTTTCCCTGGACTCAATGCTGAGATAACTCAGAACAGTGTTAGGTGAAGTCAAACGTAGCAGTAGGAGTTTCTCAACTTATCTATTCAGCCCTGACCTAAAATCACACTGCCCGCCAAAAACAACATCACAAGCAACAAGTTCAACTCATTGTCAGGGTTGTACCACTGAACACTCGACCTGCAGGGCTGTATCTCACATAGGTGAGATTAAAAATATGAGCTAAGCCCCATTTTAACAGTGGGTGTGAAATACCGGACACCTCATGGATGTGTTATTTTAAATAACCTTCCTATTCTGTAAAAATCATCTGTTCAATTTTAGTCCAAGTTCTGCTTGAGTGTAAGGACTGAAGTGATTTCAAAGCTTTCCTTATTTCCAAGGAAAAGGAGTAAATGCACATTGAGATCCAAGTATACAATGCAGTTTGTTGCAAAATTGGGAATCCATCAGAAGCAGAACGTGCTGCAAGGGAAGTATCAGGTCCACTCACTTTGATTTATATAGGGGGAAGTCCGGAGAGCTCTGAGTGGGGTTGTCCATTTGTCACTGTGACCGCACAGCCTGGCATCTTAAAAGCAGAGCTCACAGAAACATAGCACTCCTTTGTGAAAAGTGACACTGACACTCAATCTAGGTTTATTTTTTGAAAGAGAAGGGGAGGGAGGAAAGGACTGGCCTGGTTTCCTGAGCAAAGGTGGTTTATACAATTTCTCTGAGCATCTGTCCTCGCCGAGGTCAGGGCAGACCAACTCAACTGATACACAGGTTTTTTGGCGGCGGCAGTCAAAAGCCACAGCACAGGCTGTCACATGCTGGCTGGGTGGACTGGAAAGGACATGAGGAAGCATGGGATTATGTTGGTGGTGACGGTAAAAGCACAAATCTGTAGGAAATCAAGTCTCAGAAATTCAGGGGACAACATACCAGCTTCTTTTGGAGTTAAAAGATCAGGATGTTATGTTACGGAAGTGTTGAGTTATTAATGCTTTGGATGATCAGCACTGAGAAGTGCACAAATGGGAAGAACATGTTTTATCTTACACATCAGCAAAAGTCAAGCTGTCGATGCAAAAGGTTGCAAAGTCTGGAATTTCAAAACCCAGCTGTAGCTGGATGGGTTGGTTTGGTCACTTTTGTTTTGCCAAGCTTCCTGGATTACATTTCACTCCTCCTTAGATTTCCTATTTTTTTCCTCAAAAGAACTTCTCTTGCAACTGAAAAGAAACGTAACAGTGGAAATTATTTTCCTTTCCATATTCCAGATCTTCATGGAGTTCACATGTTGCCACAGACAGCCACGTGGTCGTCGCCTCCCCAGCAGTACTTACTGACTCTGGGTTTCAGAAACAAGCATACTGGAAAAGTCGTGGAAAGGTGTTTACAAAGAAGACTGCCAATCTTTTCAGGTACGCCAACTTGCTTAATAGCTGGGCTAGCTCAGGGGTGACCTCCATGTCCTTGCTAAATGAGGTGGGTCGCGGGTTTCTCGGGACCCATTTCTCTGTGCCTGCAGCCCTGTCTGTCCAGAGAGCTCTTCCCCATCCTCCTCTCTCCTCCTCCAGTTTACCCATCATTTTGCTAGATCCTTTACGGAAAATGTATACGAATAAATGCAGTATATGGTTTTGTGATTTCATTTCCTAGACCAGAAAGCACCTTTGCGCGTTCCCACGAAAGAAGAAACAGCAAGCTTTTGGGAAAGCACCGGGAACAGGATAGCGAGAGTACAGGATTTTATAAGGAGCACCAAACTCACTGTAAGTACAAAATTCACTTTCTGGTGTGTAATGTGTGCGGCAGCAGAAGCCTGTGCATGTGTGAATGACGTGCTTTTTGGTGGGTAATTCATTCTGCACATACTCCTCCTGTGTCCAGAAATGTTCAGTGAATTGCAATAGAAACAGAGTTCAACTGGGTTTTAGATACCTTCAAAAAGTAGCCCTAATTATTCAACAGTGTACTTAGTTTATTTAAAATCACTTTGCATGCAATTTTCTCACATCTTTATGTCCTATTATATTATATCCCTACTTCACATAACTGTCAAAACTACTCACTATATTTAATACCCATGGTATACTACACTTATCACCAGGATCTCCATCAAGAGTTAATAATTGCTACTTGAACCATTTCTAGCGATTTAGATCCTGATGCCTACATAGTGAAGTATGTGAAATAACCTTCAAATCTGTTACAACCGTATTGAAGGTATATTAGTTAATTCTACTCCATACTTTCTGCAATAATGTACACAGCTTTTTAGCACTATGGCTTTGATTAGCACAAAAGGTCAAAAATCAAATTTGCATGTAGACTAGACTGTTTTAATGCAATTCTTAAATTATTCTCCTGAAAATAAGTGGAAGCCTCTCGTCCCTAGGTTGTAAATGCTAATGTTAATGCTTTTTCCCTAGCAATAAGTTTTTTAGTTTTCTGTATGTTGAAAGAATCGGAGCCATTTCCTCGTCAGGGGTGTCTAAGCAAATCACAGGATTTATATTCTTAGGTTTTGATACCAGATAGGAGGTTGACAAAAACTGCTACTTAGCAACCCCTAGCAAGGAAGAAACATTAGCTAGATATTTAGGGAAGCTATTTCTCCTTTACTCTCAGAGAGCAGCTGCTGAAACAACAGTAAGTGCTTGAACTCACATGCTTAGTGGGAGGTAAAGGTGCTTAGTGCTTCGCCAAAACGGGCACTCATAAAGCATCTGCATCGGCGCGAGGCAGGTGGAGCAGGCTAAGGGCAGACATCCCCAAGGAAACACACAGCTGCTTCTTTCCAGTTCTTTCCTAAAGCCATGTGCTATTGGCTTCGGATGACCAAAAGCCCAAGTTATTGATGTGCAGGCTAACAGAAGTGGCATCTTTGGGAAAGTGAAATACCTGTTATTGTGGTGTGCACTGAACTTTAAACATTTCAGAAGTTAGAAGTATAAACAGACAGTGGGGTGGGTACTGGGTACAGAATAAAAGCCTGTTTTTTCTGAAAGCCGCAGTAAAACTGAATTTTTAAATTTTTTTTTTGACCGCACAATTCTCTCTGAGTATGACAGAGCTTTTAGAGGTGAGTTTCCTGTATTGCAGTTACTCAGTCCCTAAAGAGTATCGGGAAGAGAAAAAAAACTTGAAATCGAGTATATTTTGAATTCTCTGTAACTACTCTGTTCTGTAAATTAATTTGGAGGAACAGGACCACATGGTTCAAGCAGAGATATGCGGTATCTGGTATCCAGGGTATAGGGAAAAGAAGACAAACTCAGCATGTAAGAGATGAGAGCAGAGTGGTGTTTTACATTTGCTCAAGCCAATCCCCACTAGCTGTATGAATTTACACTGCTCCTACATAGTAATATTTTCTACCAGCTCTAGAACTCACCTCACACATTTAAATACTCTTGCTGAAACAGAAGAGGGCTCTCAAAAACACGGGGTGAAATCCCAGCACCACTGAAGCCTGCAGCAAACTTGCCTTTTTCCCAAGGGTGTCAGCATAGCATCCCCGTGGTTCAGGCAAGGTCTGCCCAAGTGCCACCTCCAGCAGCGGCAAGAACGGGATAGAAGGTTTGAATCATGGTCCTATAGATTAATAACCAACCACCAAACAGCCAGTATGGGAGCTTTAATAGCGAGGAGGCAAACCCCAAGACAGAAGAAATTATCACTAAGTTAGAACAAACAGCTGCCACTTCCACATCCATTATCGGTGGAAACATATTCACTTTCCCTTCAGTTTTCATAGTGTTGAATGATCCAGGCAAGACAGAACCTCTGACCCAAAGAGCAAATGACAAAGCCAATTATACCTGATAATACAGATAGGCACAGAGCCAGAACTGCTCTGCTACTGGTGATTAAAATCTCTTTATGGACCTGGCAGAGATTTGGCCACTTTCGCTTCCTTGAAAGTATTCCAAAATTTTCTTCAAGCTAGAAATACGATTCCATTGTATTTCCATCATGCACAAACTAAATTAAAAAATTCTGCAAGACAAACTTCAGATACAGACTCTAGCTTTACAACTTCCTTTAAGAAGATAAAAGAAAATACTTGGGTTTTAATAGAACAAACATTCCTTTCTGCCCTCTTCTTCATTTGCAGAAGCAAATGTACAATCCAAAATGCTTGTCCTAATCAGATTTTTTTTTGACAAAAATTTCTCAGTGCTAAAGCAGAGCTTATTAAGCCATGGCAACGCTTAATATAAGTGGATTCTGCCACCTCAGTTTTGCAGCTACACAACCTGGAGTTAATTACATGATTTATACACACACCACTGTTGGTAAGGCGTGAAGTTAAAAAAAGCAGAGCATTTTCTGTGGGCTTCCCTTCTTCATAAAGAACAGCCAGCCCCATTTAAATCAAGGGGACGTTTGCGTATTGTAAAGCAAGAAGCATTTGAGAAAGAATGTCGCGGTCTGGTCCCCGCGCAGCATCATCTGCTGCTGGTGGGGAAATGCCATAAACCTCATCTACCCAGAAATACATACCGGGACACAAAGGTTATTTTATTTGCTTTAAAAAATACATACCAGTCAGACCTTCAGCTACTCATATTCCAGTCAAGATTACCAGCATAGACAAGTGGTTATTCTATCAAGTGATTTTACTGGGGTAATTTCTGCTGCTTTGTACACACCAAGCTTGCCTTTCTCCTGCTGTAGTCCCATGCCGATGGCACACGGTGCTACTTAACAGGAGAAACAGTGGCCAGAGGGACTTATTAGCCTGCTCATATTATAGAGGTGAACAAAACCCACCATATGATTCACAGCATGCTGCGTACATTTACAGACCTCGCTGTTTTGCTGTCTATTTTTTAAGCAGAAGGAAAGTGTTCACTACATACAGGTTTCTGCATACACATTTTCTGGAGGATACCAGGGTCATTAAAGAAACATTATGATGGATTTTTTCCACTTGTTATTGCAATGCACTACAGAGCTGCTTGCAAGGCATAAATTCATTTACATTTTGAGCTGAAAAATAGTGGTAAAGACCCCACAACAGAAAAGAAGGACTACTGGGGGGCATTCCAGACTTTTGCAAAATGGTGTTGTTAAAGCTGATAGTTAAACGTGCCACACATATTGGGTATGACAGATCCTGCTTTAAATCCAGGCTGACCAGCCACTTTGCTTTTCTTTTTCTTTAGCGCTTGGCAATTAAACATTCTTTATAAATAGTAGTGGCATAAGGGATGACTCCTTCCTTGAGTATAGAGAAAAAGTGAAGGTATCATCCCAAAATTCTCAATACATGAAAGGACACATGATTCACTCCTCTCACATGCTTTCCAGCTCCTTTTTGCAATGAAAACCTGTCCTATCTTTGCTCTGGTTGTTAGTGCTGGGTATTTAGCAACAGCAGGTAAGCTCCATCCAGAACAGATCTGCTTTTTGAGGGTGCTCTTTCATCCCAAGGTGAGAGGAATGAGGATGTCACAAGGCTCATCCTCGGGCATCAGGACCTTATTTCTCTCCTAGAAGGAAGGTCTTCAAAGACTTTTTTTTTTTTTTTAGTTTAAAGGGAATTCCTGCAGCAAAAAGTTTTCTGGGGAAAGCTTCTCTCTTGAGAGGCCCCTGCCTCAGGCAAGACTGCCCACTATGAATGAAGTCCTTAAGAGAAACTCCATCAATTGCTCACTTTCACTTTTTTCTTTAAATTGTCCTGGGAATAACCAGACAATAAGGGTGAGGCCCATCCAGAAAGTAACAGCATCCTAATTTAATAATTTATTGTCCTAATATGTTACTGCATTTCTAAGGTGAATGCAACTGTCACTCTATGTACTGCATTTGTTGGCTCCTTTGCTACCTGGTTCCTCAAATGTGTTTCTCTCCTCTTTGTTAAAGGAGCCAACTCTTTTCCACTGAAGTCTCCATTTAGGTTTGCTCTTTACTTAACCTTCACTGTGCCTACCTGAGCTGGTTTCATCTTCATCTGATTGCTTGGCCACTTTATTATGTTTTTTTTTACTGCAGCTTAGTAGGCTCTTGAATTCTGGTCTAGTTCATGTAATTCTCATCATGTGGTTCAGCTCCCCGTGGAATTTTTCCTCCTGCCAGCAGCAGTTATTTACTTTCTCTTTCTGCATTTTTCGTTGTCACTGAAACGCCACCTCTGACAATGTTCAGCCTCCTCTAATCCTTTCAAAAAAAAAAACCAAAACCCCGCTGTAGGTTATTTATTTATTTACTTCCAACCTAAACTTAAATAGCATTGCTAGATCCACAGAGTGCATGTTGGCACAGATGCCCAATTTGTTTCCCATAGCTACGTGGCATGCTCTCATATTTTTCTGGAGAGTCAAGCAGAGAAAAAATTGTTTTCTTTTTGCCTTTACTTTCTTAATCATTGGAGAAGCCCCCAACAGACACAGCATGATGAGAGAGGATTTTTACCTGCTTTCTTAGCTGATGACTCAATATACTCATTTCTTAGCGCTTAGACAGAAAGGTTTTGGGCGGATTTCAAGAATAGCAGGGAAAAACCTTTTGCTGTGTCTAAAATGTTGTGAGACTATTTTATGTTGATAAGAGCTCTCCTCTCTCATTAGCTGATTGCTTCTCCTTATTTTAATGCATACAGCTCTACCTTGGGACACAGCTATGTGGCTTTCAAACATCGATGATCAGGTGGAGACAGAGCTCCATTTTTTTCCTTGTTTTAGTGTCATGCTAACTAGACTGTGTCAGACTCACAATTTCACATATCAGAGATCACAGAAATCTTTTTTTCTTGCTGCTGTCTCCCACTAATACTAGGCCAGGTCCTCAGAAAAGGATTTTTCAACTGATAAAAATAGTTCGTAAGAAGGTTGTCCTGGTCTCTTGACTCCTGGTCAACAGGAGTTCATGAGAAGGTAGGCTTGGTAGGGATCTTCTGGCTCCTCAAGTCAAATTACCTGCTTTTTTATATCTTTGCATCACCTAATATCCTCTTCATAAATTGAGTAAAATCCAACTTAGAACTAGTTAGGCTTTCAGAACTAGTTAGGCTTTCTGCCTTTTGGTGAAATACACTGCAGACCTTCAACCTGAATTATATATATATTAATTTCCACCACAATCTTATTTGTACCTATTTATACACAATGGTCCTTCTGTTCTCATTGTCTTTTATCTCTCCTTCCTTTTTCAGTTGTTTGCTCTCTTTGGAATTTAGCCCTGCATTATGTTTATTGAGAAGAATAATAAGCTCTTGGCATTTTCATTAATAGACTAATCAAACCATACTTCTCTCGAAAGAGGTATCTCCTGCTGGCTTCTCTCTGCTCCATGATGCTTGGGTTTAAATTAACCTCTCCAAGCACAGCTGACTGGAGCTGTCTGCAATACTCCAGAGAACTGCTGACCAGAGCTCCTTTTCCCTGTGCAGTGCCGGATTCTCTCCTTCAGCTCATGGAAATACCAGTTCATTGGCTCAGCTCTTTCTTTTTCAGTGGTTTTCATATCTGGAATTCCCAGGTTGTAGCTGTGTTCCTGCCACTGGTCTCCAGTGCATGGTCTTTTATTTTGTACTATTTTACAATTATACTAGGTACTATATTAAAAGGGGTAAAATTAACTATACTAGGATTACTCATGTCTTTCTAGAGTTTAAAGAAAACTAAGCTTTTTCTTTTCTTATTAAGACGTATAGAAAGCAAGAACAGTGTTGTTTTAAATTCTTAGACTTGATACAAGAACTATGTTGATAGTCATTTTGATAACACTTGATGCTGGCCTAGTGCAAATTTCTGCAAAACCAAGATCAAGATCAAACCAAACGATCACGATTCTTTGCCAAGAGAAGTGCGTTTTAGAAAAGGGACACCATTAAATATAATTCAAAACTTTCCTTTCACCCTGTTCAATATACAATTGGACCTAGAATCACCTACCTGGAAGCGTACATCAACGGCAGCATCAGCGTGCCACCGTATGTGACTGCCACAACAAAGGTCTGCTAAAAATACTGGAAGTGCTTTTGAAAACTAATGCCAATTCTTGGAATTTCAGGCACTTAAATACATTCACAACCCTGATTAGATGAATGGAAATATCACTCTGAAGGGCTGAGCATTCAGATGTGCAATGGCTACATCTCGTCGGGAATCTAGGCCAAATTGCTTTTGAAAATCTCAGTAGGGTGTTTATTTGCATTTTTGGCATCACAATACTTTTGAAAATATGGTGGTAAGGCTGCCATCCGTCAACCTCTTCAGCAGGTGCTGAGATTTTATGCAAGCACTTGGCTGAGTTTCCGTATTCACATGCTTAAAATTTACCATGTGTCTAGCTGCCTGGAGGATCAGAGACCACCTCTGCAGGTTTCAGTCCCACAAGGTTATATATTTGAAAACTATGGATTTGCCTAGTCTGCAAACAAACCATAAGCTGACACACTGCACGGTTTCCTCAACCTCTTCACTGAAACTTTAAAAGCAATCCATAAAAGTCAGATAATATTTAACAGAGGGGATTATAGAAAAGCCATTTCCAAATGAGAAAATTGCATTCATATTTGTTATCTGCTGTCTCCCCTTCACATATATTATGACTACATATTTATTTTTCTAGTACTACTAGAGAGATTGGGGGGGGAAATCTTTTTTTTTTTCTCTATAAAGATTTTCAGCAACATTATCTTAAAGGTGCTCGATGCCATATTGCTTATAGTATTAGCAGCACAAATATACGTGACAATAAGCCTCAAGGCATAGGACTTGAAGGATAAGTGCGTTTTCTGCAGCTCTCCTCTAACCTACTTGCTTTTGCTGAAAAAACAGGACTGTCTCTGTGCGTGTTCACGCGCAGTAGAGAAGTTGTATTACGCCAGCATCCTCGGCCGTTTGGAGAGAGTCGAGGAACAGTCCCAAGTGGTTAATCAAGCAATGGCTGAGCTAGCAACCGTTCCCTACCTGCAGGACGTCACTCAGAAGGATGCCGAACTAGTAAGTATTTATTTCTGATACTTGTTTTGGCCTTTAGAGGCAGAGAGCCAGGGAGAGAAGGGTTGGGGCAGAGCACCGCACTGCAGTTTGCTCTGGATATCTTTTTTTTTTTTTTTTGAATGTGCGGACCTGAAGTAGGTTTAAAATCCTACTGCAGTGCCTTGTCAGAGGAGGTGCTAATCACCTGCAAGGATGACTTTTATAGAGCCAGCATGACTCATCTGTAGGCATACTTTTAAAACCTCTTCTTTTCCCCCCAAACGTCCCCAGATCAGCCTGAGAAAGTGATTGCAATTATTCAGATCTTGCTACTTTAAGGTATCTAACATCAGAAGCCACCTGCAGCAAAACAGGCCAAATCTAGTTAAAGCTGAGGAGAGAGGGGAAAGGAGAGAAAAGATTTCTCTTTCCTGGCTCCATCTACAACTTGCTCCCTGTCACTGAATAAACCCATCTACCTGCTATGCTTTTGGTCTTCCTTTGAAAAACAAGGCCAGTGATGCCAGCAGGGCTGTTGCAAGACTAGAATCAGTAATAGCTTGATAAATATATTGATAACCTGCAATCAGAAAGTAATGTATGGTTACTCTTCCACGAGGCTGTCCAGTTTTCTGATGAGGGAAGGAGCTCAAGTACATCTAAATATTAAGCATTTCATTCTAGAAGAAAAAAAAAAAAAGTCCCTGCACAGTCTCTGTATTTAAATGCAGTCCAATTTTGACAATCCAACTGTGGTTCGCTAAAAAAAAATCTCTTGGTTTTCCCAGAGCCAGTCCCTCGCCGTTTGTTTGCAATCCTGCAAAGCTCCTAAGCTCTGCAGAATTAAAGCTTCCCAGCAGCTTGCTTTAGGGGAGAGGAGCAGTGGCCTGCAATTGCAGGAGGTGGTTGCCAGACTTTGAAGTCTGGGCTCGAGATAAGGGGAGACGACATTGCAAAGAAACTCTGTTATTAAAAGACACTCTCCTTTTGATGCAAGTTTCCTGGTATTAAACTTCAGCAGGCCCACATTTCAAGGCTGACTAAAGGGTCTTGAGTTATTGGTACATATTTCAGTGATGGATTTTTCTCCAGGGGGCAATATTTTCAGCACATCACGCGTTAGGCACAGGCTGTTACACTCTCGCCTGTATCTTGTCATGTAGTAATCACGAGCCTGACCTCCCTGGAAAGCTTTTTGGGGGAGGCTCTAGGCCACCCGAGACAAAGGTCTTCAGTCTCTTAGGGGTAGGACTGGGCAGAACAAGGGTCCGTGCCAAGAGATTTAAGTGACAGATTGTAAATCTTGCAATGAAACACATATGCTTTGTTTACTGAGCCCGAGGTAAAAATGTTTTTTAAAAGAATAAAGGCAGAAAATCTCTACCAGCTATCCTGTCCAGAGCATTAAAATGTATTCATTCAGTATTCATTTATTTTTCTTTGTCCTCTCATCCTCCTGTAAGATATATCTGTAGCCTGTGTGTGCAAACAGAGGCTCAGATGCTTCGTAGCTAGAATATTTTAGTAAACTTCAGGCACCACAGTGTTAAGGCACAAGACTGCAAGCAAGAACTTGCAGAGTGGCTTCACCAGGGAGTGATTAATGGGCTTTACCTTTCCTGGTGGCATCAGCCCACATGGCATAGGCTCCTCTTGTGCCGGTTGGGACCGTTTCCCGACCACATCCCAACTGCATCAAGCACAGAACATTGCTGCCCACCGTTGGGTCTGCACGCCCGAACCATCCAGGCAGCGAGCAGAAGATCCTCATTTGCTCAGCCTCCTCATTTCATGGAGTCCAGGCAGGATGAAACATTTGCAGGACTGGCTGGGC